TGATCACAAATCCACAGATGTATTTGTTTAGGGACTGATCTCAGAAAATGATAGCTGTGTGACTGAAATGATTCTGGGAGGTTCAACCTCCTCCTCCATGTTTAGGACTATAGGTACTGAAAACACCTGAAGTTAAACCTCTCATTACGTCGGGAAGGGTTTGATTATTTAATGGAGCGCTGAGATGGGGTCCCCGGGCCTAGAGGAGCACGAGAGTGATGATTGGAGCTCCTGCTGAAACCAGGCCTGGAGTCGGGATCCCTCGCTGACCCGGTCCTTCATGACAGCGGTGCAATGGGCAGATTCCAGATAGCAGCTGTCCCGAGGAAGACCTGGGATTGGCCCCTGACTGGGGGGCTCAAGTCAGTGACCTACAGTAGAGGCCAGAGTGCAATATAAAAACTTTGCAGTATGCTTGTGAGCAAGAGAATCTACAGGGACAAGCCAAAACTTTTGAAGAACCCCCCCACACACACACACACACACAAGCACACACACACACACACAAGCACAGTCTCTGACTCTTGCAATGACAAAAACAACTTTAATATATGGGACGTACAGTATTCGGGGTTAAGGGTTCAGAATTATTCGCTGCTGGTCGTTTATTCAAGCAGGATTTTAGCCCATGTCGTGATGGGTAACTTGCGAGTAACCCCGCCAGCGTCTCAGCTGTCCTCCGGGACCGAGATCTGGGAGCAGTTCAAGCTGGGAAAAGCGGTGGAAGTCTGCCTCGCGTTATTCAAGGGAACCATGCCTTGTTTGCAGCTAAATGAGTTTATTCAGGGGACTAGTGACAAATGTTCCTAATATTTTGGCCAGTGAGTGTGCCTAGCTGCCTTCCCAGTGTTGTCATGCTGAATAAAAATAGCAGGCTGCAGCCTGAAACTTGGACTGCAGGGGCTCTGCTGCAGCCCGTTGAGCTGACAGAGAGGAATCCCCTGACACACTACTCTGCCGTTTGCACCGAGGGCTGAGTTGACTTAACTGGGATTTCTAAAAACAAGTCAAAAAGACGAGAAAAATTGGGAAATTCAAACCCCAAAAATGAAAATAGTTGGCACCCACAGCATACAGTATCTCTGTGCCAGGATGGGTTTGCTTAATCCATGCCTCTCATTGGAAAGAGCTTGCTTTCTTGCATTTGGACAGCTTAGCGGGACCCTGCCCAGAGGTGTGAGTGCAGACAGAGGCACACAGAGTAATTGATTGGTTCCAGATGTGCACCGCCTCTCATGTGTCTCCCGGAAAAGCCAAACTATCTGCACGCTACTGGGAGGCAGTTCTAAACTCCAGAGGCAGAGAATGCGAATCTGGTTTCAAGATAGTGATGGGAACAACTATTGCTGGCTCTTTCTGTTCAAAAGACTAGAAATTTTGTCTAAAACTAGAAGAAAAGAAGGCGGTGCCAGATACAGTGCACTGCTGTACTGCTTCATCAGTCTAGGCTTGATCACAAAAAGCACTGCTTTTCATTTATTGGACAACAAGACCTGAATACATGCTTCAATTTTCAGTATTACAAATTACAATACAATAGCAAAGCATGTGAGAACAGAACTTCAAAAACTGTAAAGTTTTATATTAACAGTCATATTGAAATCTGAAGCAGCAGATTGCTGGAAGTTCAAAGAAGAGATTTGTTTTCCCACTCAACTCATCTGAACACGTCTACATCTCATTATAATCTGCGGTATGTGAGACAGTGTTTAAAAAGGTTTTTATTAGCGTTCTTTAAAAGCCAAGAACCGCTGTTGTGTAATGATGCGAATCCAGGTTACAGTGCAGTGGACAGGGTGAGATTGTTGTCACTGGCAGGACAGACACATTTTCTTCCTCTCTGAGATGAGGCTGTGCTTTTTTTCTAGCCCCCCGTCACAAAGCAAGTGACAGTTTTTACGAGAGACAAGTGCATGTGATTTGTATTTGCAAAAAAAAAACAATTAAAATCCCTCATCCATAAAGCTTGCCTGAACATACTATGGAAACATGTGCAGCATTGAAGACCCAAATAAAAAGGCTTGTTTCTGCAAACTCGCAACCTAAACATTTTAAATAATTGAACTTGGCAGCACAGCAATAATTTGAATCCCAGTTCCCTGGAGGAAGCTGGAATGCCTTGGGCATTGTTACATCCAACTCTTGGCTTCTGAGCAACAGTTAAATTGAAAATGTAGCCGGTAAATTCAAGGATGGGACTTAACAGAAACTCCTGTTAATCAGAGAGCTGTTCAGACTCATCACCTTCCACCTGCCAATTCAAGTCTTTAATGTAACTTTTACCAGAAGCCAGTTTAACCACCAGTAGGTCTTTGGCCTGTGAGCCAGCAGCCATGTCACCCTGCAGCTTACAACTGGCAGCCCACTGAAGCTCAGCAGGTGTGAGCCTGGTCAGTACCTGGGTGGAGACCTCCTGGGAAAAACTAAGGTTGCTGCTGGAAGAGGTGTTAGTGGGGCCAGCAGGGGGAGCTCACCCTGTGGTCCATGTGGGTCCTAATGCCCCAGTGACGGGGACACTATACTGTAAACAAGCGCCATCTTTTGGGTGAGACGTAAAACCAAGGTCCTGACTCTCTGTGGTCATTAAAAATCCCAGGGTGTTTCTTGAAAAGAGTAAGGGTGTAACCACCAAATTGGCCAAATTTCCCATGCCTCCTAATAATCTCCCTCTATGAATTGGCTACATTACTTTGTTCTCCTCCCCCCCCGACGGCAGGCGGAGCGACGCGCCGGTTGGAGTATTCTCATTCGCATTTAATGACAACGTCAGTTTAAAGATTTGGTTCAAACCGCGTGCGGACAAGCGGACCCTGCTGATGCGGGATTAACGCTAGGATGAGAGAGAGAGGTCTTTGGCCTGTGGGAGGAAACCAGAGCACCCAGAGGAGAACCACATGAAGACTGGGAGAACGTATCATTTTTTTGAAGTACCCCCCAACTCAAAATGTTTAAAACCTGTAGAAGGCTCTGCCCTGTTCCAGGACATTGCGCCATGCATTTATCTGTATGTACTGTGTATTGTAAAGCCCCCCCGGACAACCAGCGCAAAGGTAGTGTCCTGAATTTTCCAACTGATTTCGTATTTTGAGCAATCTATCCCGAACTGAGCCTCCAGCAGTCCACATCCTGTTCGTGTTCCCACTGAGGGAGGTTTATTTAGCAGCATATCGGGCTTCACTCAGATCTCTGTTTGTCATTTCTGAGTCCCCGAGTCCCAGGGAGATACGCATCAGGCTTTCGCAGTAACCAGCCTGGTTCCCATCACGTCTCCTGGAGAGATACGGCAGAGCTGCAGGAATACAGAGGCGTGGGAGGTCGGCTCTGCCCAGAACTCGCGCTTTCACTGGGCAGGGGGTAAAGTTCAACTTAACTCAGGCAGCCATGAGATTCATTTTGTAGCAGTGGCAACCTGTGAAAGTAGTAAAGATTTTTGGGGGAAACTCAACTTGAGCGACTACTGTGTTTGTTAGGGCATGTTCCATTACGTTCTTTGTCCAATAAAAAAACTTGTTTACAAAAAAGGAGACTTAAGACATGTGGAACAATCGTGCAATACAGTTACTGTACCAGCCTGCACATAGAGGTCCTCGATTCAATGGTTAATAAGGAAGATATGGTTTGAAGAGATTAATAAATGCTGCTATTTGTTTAACATCTCTGTAAGTCCTTAATGCCAGGAAGATTTATCCTATGAAAAATAAGTGCTGTAAACACCTTTGCAATATAGAGACCTCTGATTGCCCCCCTTTTAGCAGCTTTCTAAACAAGCTAAAAGAATGTCTTAAAGTAATGTTTTAACTGTTGATGGCTAAAAAAACAGATCCTTCTCTTGTCTCGTATAGTAAAGAAAACCTGATTCAAGTATTGAAAAATCCCTAAAGGCACTGGCATAGTTAACAGTTAACCTTTCATTCAGTAATGAAACACAAACCAAGGGACACAAGTGGAAACTATGTGGAAGCACATTAAAACTAAGAACATGAGATACTTCTTTACACAAAGGGTTGTGAGAATCTGCAACAAGCTACCAAGTCATGTTCATACCCTGGCTTCTTCCAAGAAACATCTGGATGAGATTCTCAGATCAGTTAGCTACTAAATACCAAATTAGGCTAGATGAGCTAGACAGTCTCTCCTTCGTAACATTTCTGTTGCTCTCAAAAGTGTTTTCTCCCATCACTCCAGGCAGTGCATTGCATACTTCGCATGCTGAAGAGGCTGGTGTTCCTCGAAGGAGTCAGGTGCCTGCAGAAATAAAACTCATTTAAAAGTGATTTGAAACCTGCCTGAGTTAAACTCATCATTTACCCAAACAATGTTTTTTTTTTTAAGTGTCTTGCCACTTTAGGTTCCAAAGTTGTTTTTGTTTCCTTTTTTTGTTGTAGCTGCCAAATTAAAGTTAGCAACATTCGCTTTTTTATGAACCTTTTTTCTTTCATCAACCTGACAAATTGAATGCCAGCAGCACTTCTATGACTTTCACTACATATTGCTGAAATTAAATTTGTAACTCTTGGCATGACGGCCAGTTATTTCTCTCACTTGGTAACTGTTCAGCAAATACTGTAGCTTGCTAACAGTTAAGATCGGCAATAACTACCCAATGGAACTCTACTCATGACATCTGTGTTGAAGCCAGTTTCAGGAGCCAGAGTGCTTTACAATACGTAAGGCCAGGCTTTCAACTGATAGGAACCTGAGGAAACACTTCACAAGAGTTACACATTTTGTCTGGATATTAAAATGCTAAATGTATTTCATAGTTTAGTATTTTGTTTAGAAATATATGCAGGTTTTAAAAAGTCTTTTTTTACCCAGTTGATTCAGACATTTTCCAAACAGGACAAAAAGGACTGCCATGCCATGAAAACTGAAGTATTCGTTCAGTTCCAAGAGCTGTATTGGGGTCTTAAGCTCTTCCATACATTTTGGAGAAAAAAAATGGAAAATTCCATTCCCCCTTCTCCTTATCCATAAATAAAAAACAATATACCACCTGATCTTTTTGCTTTTTGACGTATTTATTTATGCTCGTGATTAATCACTACAGTACAAGTCATAATGACAGCAACATCCATTGTAATACAAAAAAATATGAAGGAATATTTTCATGTTCATTACTCAGGTAGCAATTGAAAGGGAATGTTTGGGGATCAAGAAAACTGTCTCCTCACAGTGCTCTACCCTGTTGGCTCGGCATTCATCTTCACAGAAACGGTGGTAGCTTGAATTTTAAGCATAGCGTAGGAGAGAGCAGACCACAATAATAGCTTTATAAACTCCTGCCCTTTGTGGACCATTTCATGTGGTAAAATAATTCAGACACTTAGAATCTCCAACCTTTTACTAGGAATTACACTGCACTACAATGCATGAAACAAGTAGAATCCTGGAATCCAGTGACATACCATGGTCTGGGATGATACGTGTCCTCCCTTTGACATCTAAGAAAACCGCTTCCATTCCAAGAATTGTTTCTTCAATAGGAACGTGCCTGTGAGTCATGGCTATACTGCTGTAGACCTGCTGTTGTAGGTAGTTTATTTACACTGCTGGGGACCCAGCTGTATCAAAGGTGACCAACATGATGGGGGATATTTCCTGTGAAGGACCAGCATTCAGTACAGTGGGGGGTGACATAGTTTCTCCTTTTCTTAACGCCATGAAAACCAGGATGAGCTCTGGCCCCATGACCCAATGTGGCTCAGATGCGGAGATTACCTACCTACACTGCTTATGAAACGTCTGCCATCAGTTTCCACTTCACATCTCAGCAGGAGATCACGCTGGAGACGCTTCAATAAATCTTTCTATTTATCTAGCATTTCTTCTACTGCTGTGATCCCTCATAATCATTTCTTAGCATCTTTTTTCTTAATGCAAAGCATATAGAGTAGAGAGCATCTGCTCATATAGAGACACCTTCAGAAGGAACAGAAGGAAAGTCAGAGATCCTGGTAAAATAGACTGGTAGGACAATTCTCATCTTGGACAGCAAAGTCTGGATTTAGGGAAATCTGAATCCTAAATTTAATGGACACCTTTTATTTTCAATTTGAAAATTTTTATGTATATACTCTTTATAATTTCATTAGTGCAGATATTTGATTTGCCTTATGCCTTGATATTAAATTTTACATCTAGGCTGCCTTGCAATGCCTCTTGAGACAATGACTTTGACCCATTCCCCTGAACGTTTCCAAGGTTAATGAAGGCATGTATTGGAACAAGCCAACCCTGGCTGGCTGGATTGTATGCCCAGACTGGTAACAGGGTTCAAGGGGACAAATGAGGTAGAAAGGAAGCCAGAAGCAGTGACCCTTCATGAATGGGGACACTGGAGTGATCAACCCGAGGTCTCTTAATAACAAACAGAAGATTGGGGGGAAGGGGGGGATAGTAATTTATCAATTTCATAAAAAAGATTGGTTAAGAAACCTTAAGGTGGGTTTTCTGAAATCCCAAGGTCACTGTAGCCTACAGAGTGTTGCTGATAGCTCTGAAATCTCCACTTTGGCCAGGGTTACAGGTCTGCTCTGCCCATCCCTTACTTCACCTACAGGGGGAGCCATTCCTCAGGGAAAGCTGCATAAGCTTCAGGTACTGCAGTAGCTACCCACACACATTCAGAGATGAAAGGAGAAAGCTTTTACATGCTTTTAACTCCTAGATCTGGTCAGATGTAATTTGGTCCTTAAAAGTGAAAGAGAGTGCTTAAATATGGCAGAAACCCAAAACAGACTCTATTACACATTTTAGTGCATTTCCAAAGGTCACCCAGCCCAACAATTTTTCAAGTTCGGTGCATAAAAAAAGCACTCAGGGTTACTTGCATTCACACTAAACCATGTCAGGTTATGAAAGATTCCTAGGCAAAACTTAAAACATACAGCAAGAAACAGCTGTAGCAATAGTAACTTACTTTCTGTAAGTGGCCTATTACCTTTGTGCACGGTAGATTTCATGCAAACTCTGCAGTCCATATTAGGATATCATAAACATATGAAGTAGGCACTGGTAGCTCCATCCTTACTGGGACAGACCTGTCTTCATTCATGCCTATGTGAGGTGGAGTTCGAAAGTCAGCAGACTGCAGTTCAACAAGCACAATCCCAGAACCTTTGCTAAATTTCACAGTCACATGGTGGCCTGTTAGTGGCTTCTCTCCAGAAAAGGGTCCAGTGTCCTCTCAAGAAAAGCAACCAATGAAAGCTGACTGAAAGGAGAAAACCTTCCAAAAAGGAGGAAAAACCTATGTACATTTGGCACAGAAAACAATGACAGCGCAATTGCAAGAGATTCAGAGAACCGTCCTCTTTGAACTTGTGCGATGTGCAGATGCTGGTGCTGCGTCAGTGCATCACGGGCACAAGCAGTCAGGCAGCTGGACCGGCTTGGCCCGTGCTTGTTGTTTATAAGGGCTGTGGGTGTAGCTGTATAGCTGGAGGGCTTTCAGGGATAGAGTGTGGAAAAAGGTTTGCCCGTGCACGTGTGCGTGCGAGATCACGAGAGCCTTCGCCTGTGCGCCCGAGTGTGCTCGCGGGCCCCGGGGCTCTCCGTGTGCGCCGGCGGTCAGATGAGGGTGGCATCCAGCCTCTTCATCTCCTCCGCGGAGCTGCCCTTCCCGTTGCTCTGCCCGTTGGCCGTGCCGTTGCTCTTCCCGCCCTGCCTCTCGTGGGGGGCCGTGTTGGGGAAGCTGGGGGGTGGGCCGACGGTCACCCGGCTCATGTCGGTGATGGAGGAGTTGGTGTGGTAGTTGGAGTGCGAGTCAGTCGTCATGAGCCGGCCATTGCACTGCATCCTGTACTGCATCCACTTCCTCTTCAGGGCTGCCTGGACCTGCGGGGGAGAGGGCAGCTGTTTAACCAGCCAGCCCCGGAAGAGCTTTCCTGGAAGGTCATGCCTGGGAGTGTCCGACTTACTTCCTGGAGTCCTGCTAGGTTCTTTCAACTGTGTTGTGACCTACTGTAAGCTTTCGACGAATTTAGAAGATCACATGGGCACCTTTTGGGTGAGTGAGGAAGATGTGCTCGACAGAGACAAGTGGAGAAGAGCAACCAAAGCAGCTGACCCCAGGACAGTCTGGGACTAAGGCTGTGAAAAAGAAGAAGAAGAAGAAGAAGAAGAAGAAGAAGAAGAAGACGACATGGGCACCTTTTGTTCGAGGGATAGTCAATTGAAATCTGAAAGTACAGGTGTGACAAAAACACCTTCTGAAGTGTTGTGGTTTTGCGATTAGTAAGACACCTGTTAAACAGGCAGGGAACTGGAAGGTCTGGAAGCCAAGTGTACCCTGAGGAACCCTTAGGAACTGGAGTTCAACCCTTCCTTGTCTTATCGGGGAAGCAAATCTGCCTCATACAATGCTCTGAAGCCCACTGGAGAAGCAAACGACACCAACACCAGTGTTTCCCTGATTTGCCTCCCATCTCATTTCTGTAGCATTCAACCCACTAGGGCCAGTCCTTGAGTGGCATCTTTCGAAAATAATCGTTCCATCCTGATCTGCACTGCAGTCAGAACCACGGACTCACTATCTTCCAGAAGATGCTGAGAACCCACCCTTTCAGGTCCCTGATCCCAGAGTCCCTTGACCGAACCCTACAGTATGTTCTGAACTTTCCATTATGTTACTTCCTTTCTGTCAAGCAGCACTGAAGCTTTTGAGCACAGAGCAAAATCCTGGCACATCACAATACAATGACTGTTTTCTGCGGTTTTAGTATTGTGTTATGCTACTGTTATATACAACCTTGGTATCGTGTCCGGATATGATTACTAACGTAAGTTGCTTTGGATAAAAGTCTGCAAAGTAAATAAATGTGATACAGGGTGTCTTTCAGGGAAGATGGTACCAACTGGAAGAGTGGTGAAGAAACACCTAACTGGTAGATTATGTTATCTGCTATCTCTCCTTATATTGAAATGCACTAGATGCATTAGTTGTCTGACAGTGTTTAAGTACAACATTGGCCCATTCCATGCATTCTCCGCTTAGGACATGACTCCTCAGAGGATTAAACTGACAGGTACAAAAACTATATACTGTACATGCTGTAACACGACTACAATCAACATGCCCAGTGGGGATATACAGTATCAGTGGGAGGGACAGCGGATGTGAAGACATTGCTGGTTCACACTTCCTTTTCTCCTCCTATAAACATTTTTTTTAAATTTGTGACTCATTAATACTTTCAACCTGTAATGAATATATCTACTTTGGCGTACACTCACCTACCTACTTTTTTCCCATGCCAATGTCTTGCCCCCACAGGGTTTAATTCAGACACAGCCACAATGCCATCTAATAGATAGCTGTACCGGGGGGATTCTTACCTCTCCGTTGCAGAAGCAGAATATAGTTGCAACCATGAAACCCTGCAGAGAGAGAGGTTGTTATTACTGTGTGTTCAGCTGTACAATGAGTTCTGCCTTACCCTCCTCTTTCTGACAGACCATGCACCTGCCTTCTGCACTAGTGTTTCTAGTAATCAGGCCCAGAGAATAGTGGCATAAACATAAAAAAGTGTGACACACCATCCCCTTCACCCCAAAAAAACATGTCACAGTTTCAAGCATATTAGTATTGATATTACAAATCAAACACATACCCTTCAAGCCTGCAGCTTATCCTGGCAGGGACTGATGACAGCGAAACACAGAGCTTGTTCTCATTGGCTCTCAGAGGTTTTTGTTTTTTATGTCAGTAAAACTTGAACAACTGAGCACACATCACACGCCATTTTTACGTGAACTGCCTCCTGCCTGATGTGTGTACACCGATCGTGCTACACCACGCACACACCACAAGAGGATATATATGTGGCTTTTTATTTTTTTCATTTGTGACACACCTTTTCTGTCACGGGTCTGTAAAAATGATCAGCCCGCTTTTTGCTTGAGTCTAAAAATAAAACATGCAAAACTGGGTTACAAATGTAAAATATTCTGATCTGATTTCAGACCTGTGCACAAGCCTGTGCACAAGAAGTAAGAGCCCTCTGCCCTGCTGCATTTGTGAGGCCCAAAGAAGAGTAGAGGGTGCTGTTGGCACTGGACACTTCTATATGAGCATTAATGTTCTGCCTCCTGCATAAATCAGCCAATAAAGGTGCTTGCCCAAGCAGAGGCTGAACTCTATTACCAGACATCAGAGGTTCACGTTACTGGCTGGTTGTGATTCCCCAAACAGTGGCACACAGAGGGTAGGGTGGGGTGGGATTATATGGCCGCTGAAGGCCATGCCCCTCCCAGGTGCTGTCAGTGATGGACGTGCCTCTCCTCCAGGTGGCGCTGTGCTGCCTGTGGAGTGTTAAAAGGCGCGTGGCTCGAAGGTGGGTGGGGTGGAGGAGTCTGCCTGCACTTCCTCGCTCTCCCCTGTGTGCGGGGTTCGCAGCTGGGAGTCATGAAGTGGAAAATACACAGCCGGGGAATCCAACAATAATTGACAATTCTACATTCCCGAAGGAGTGAAAAACTGAAGCTGGGACCAGGGCTGGCAGCCTTCTTGCAAAGTTCACATTTATTATTGTCAGCAAAAAAAGTAGGATGTCATGCATCAATGTTGCTGACCAGTCAGTTTCACGGACATAGACTGAATTCACAAGCTTCAGACAGATAATGAAGCTGCGTGTAGGGTTAGCACAGCGTGGCAGAACATGCTGACACTGAAAGGGATGTGAGAAAGTGAGATCAGCAGGTTTAAACTAAGAAAAGAGTAAAGAAGTCGCAGTATACGTCCTCCTGTGGTTTCACTGTGGATGAGACTTAATTTTGTCTACAGCCTAGGAACCTGCAGAACATCTCATTAATGTTCTCATTCAGGCAATGTAAACTATTAAAAAGAGGCCAGTACAGTGCTAGGACACACGGTAACTAGAAAGTCTAGAAAGGTTGAAAATAATGACATAATCCTCCAAAACAGGGTTAAGGTGAATGGTGCCAGTGCAGTGCCGATCTTTGGTACCACCAGCTATTAACTTTTCTAATTAAATTAACACTTTTTTCTTCTGGATTGGCCTGACCTGCTTTATCCTACAGTCTGCTGCAACAGAGATGACATGAAAAAAGAAACAGACACAGGGGTTGCTTCCTGCGCTGAGTGAAGTGGGCAGAGGGGGGCCGCGGCTGTACCTGGTAGTGCATTAAGATGTGCGTGATGTACTCGTAGACCATCTGCGCGGACCGGCCCTCGGGGGTCCAGGGCACCAGCACGAACTGGATGCCCAGCAGGGGGACCAGGATGAGCGTGGCGCGCACTGCCTTCATGTAGGTGCTGGACTCCGCGCTGTGGGTGACCTTGAGCTTGGTGATGAGGACGCGCATGATGTTCAGCAGGAAGAACAGGTTCACCTGCAGGACAACGAGAGAGACGGCCAATCTGCTGTGATACAGCACATTACAGCACGCCTTCTGTAAAGCTCTTTGAGATGCTACTTTTAGCTGTCATATAAATTAAACTATTATTATTATTATTAACCACTGATTATACGCATTGTACTGAATTTCTTTGCCTTACAAAGAAACATAAATTGTGCCAGGGAGAAGGAAAAGTCTTTTAAAGCACCAAAAACAGAGATCAGTCCTGGAGGGCCACTGTGTCTGCTGGTTTTCTAGGTCTCTTTATTACTCTAATACTGCACTGGAGATAACGGTGTACAAGGAAAAAGGAACCCAATGGTTACTTTAATTACTCTGCATTCAATGTGCAGTGGTTTGATGACTCACCACTAAAGCAGCGTGAATTGGCCCATGAATAATGTAAAGCAGGCTTGTGTTTGAACTGATCCAGCACCTATTGGAGATAACAGAGAGAAAAATACTACGAGGAACAGATGTTGAATAATCTTTCATATGCAAATAGAGCAGGGCATGAGTTTCAATGCAATAAAGCTAAAACAAACTACTCAGCCAGAAACTGTTTCACAATGAATGCTGTTCTGAAAAAGCAGAAAGCTTCAAGGGTAATAAGGTAATTTTTAATGCATTAGAATAAAGACACCAGTGACCATGCTTGAGATTGCCATGCGTGCTGTGATTTTAAATCAAGTTGTTTCCTCTTCCTCATCCATTAGGTTGGGGCAGCAGGTGGTGAGTGATTTGGTAAGTTCAACAGTGAAGTAATGCAGAGTCGGAGAAATGTGATTGTTTTTACATTAAATAGTTACAGCAACAAGTTAGTAAGTTAGTGTTTGTTATATCTTGAAACCACGCCCCCCTCTCCAACAAAATGCACTGCATAAATACTAGCTTTTTACATGAGCTTCTGTGTCAGGCCCTGTATGGAGTATGGAACATACAGGTAAGCACAACTTCCCAGCTACGGGTTTGTGCCTGCTCCGTTTTGCTCTCGGTGTTGTGTGTTATTTCACGCGGAATGACGACGCCCCAAAATCAAAGCGTGGCGAACTATTGTGGAGTGAATATTTGGCTGAACCCGCTTGGCTGAGGGCCGACCTCCAGGCCATAGGACGAGGAGGCCAAGACCCCCCCAAGCAAGGTAACCAAGGGGCAGCTGCAGAGGTGGAGTTGGGATGCAAAAGGCTCACGCGAGGGAGAGGGAGATATCGCATTTGGTATTTATAGCATTCGGCGTAGGAAGGACGAAGGGAGAGATTGCTAATCACTGACGGCTGGGGATGATTGAGCGTGGTTGTTGTCATTCCTCCTGAACTTTAGTTCAATAAACCCCATATAAAGACACATTGCGGAGAGGGCTGAGGCAGCTCGTGTGATTCTTACTTGTCATTGAAGAAGTTCAGTCTGGCCACTGCGTGGATGGTGGTGGGCACCAAAGGGAAAACTACAAGAAAACCAGAACAGTCCATCACAGACACAGCCTTAACATCAAAGAGAGGCTGAGCTGAAACTGTTGATGGGCCTTCAAAAAATGTCATTGCACTCAAATGATATATTTTAAAAAAGCTATACAAAAGAAATGAAATGGCTACCAAGCTTAGAAAAAAAGCAACGTTATCTTCTAATAGTGCTCGGTCTATTTTTTTATTAAATGAGACATGAGACACTTCTTTTATGCTTTAGCATTATTTCTTAATGTTTCATAAAAAACGACCACCGTTTAACCGGTTTTTGTAGTAAAGGAATTCAGCACCACTGAGATAAAACAGTACCTGTTATAGCAAAAATACCACGAGTCTGATTTGTACTCAGGAAAAAGATGTTAAAGGCTCGTGATAACACACAGTATTATCCCAGTAAAATCCCAACTGTTATACGCTCCAGGTTGTGATGAGGGAAACGGCACAAGGGATTGAACTGCACACCTTCCCCAGGTCTCAATCTGTCAATCGAGATCCTAAGCTTGCTTTGCCCAGATAAGCACATCTAAGTCTCTTAATTCACTAAATATAAAACAAAGAAACTGCATTGCATACCTCTGTAATATGTTGTTGTGTACTGCAACATATCAAGCACACTGCTAATATCCTGCAATCCAGTTCAATATTGAATTATGCTTTGCCGATACCGGTGTAATATTCCATGCCAATAAAGCTTATTTCTACTGCATTGAAAACAAGTGGACGTGTCCTAGGCTTCAACCCTGGCCACAGGGAAATGATGAATTAGCTCCAAAAAGCCTGGTTCACATGATTTGTCAAAATAATGTCTCATGAAATAACACACTTCAATTTAACTGTAGAATAACTTTTATCTTACTGAAAGTTATTAAGACCCATTTGACCCACCACACTTAAGCTAGAGGCGCGAGACTCTGGTAGCGCTGGGAAGAGAGCACTACTAGATTTACAAGCAAAAAACACATGCAGTCGCTGAGAAATCCCCCCTGCTTACACATGTTTGTGGTTTCCCATACTATGCCACCGCACACTTTCCACTCTCTCTTTCTATCTGTCCCGCTGTGTGAACGCCCTGTAAGACTCACCCCAGCCCAGGATGTAGTACCAGCGCAGCTGCTGCTCCTCCACGAACACAGCCACGATGATGAGCGTGTGCAGGTAGATCCCCTCGCACAGCATCCAGAAGTAGCTGGAGCCAGTAGTGTAGAGGTTGAGGAACTGTAGCACCTTGCAGCCAGCCTGCTCCCACAGAGAGTCGCAGAAGGAATTGGATATGCTTAGAAACAAACGGGCACATGGAGTAGGGAGGGGATGACATACACTGGGACACCTGGCACAATCTGGTTTTGAGCTCCTCTGGGCAGCACTGCACAGGTGCTGGTGTAGCGGAGCTAGTTCGGATACGGCGACGTCATCGCCCTCACTGCGTGTAGCAGGGACCTCGGCTGCCTGGGCTGAGGGAGATCTCCTTTAGCTCACGCGGTTGGTTCCCTGTTGCGTTATGCCAGAGACCCGGGTTCGTGCCCCAGCTGCTGCGGGATGGAACTGGGTGGTGGAAGGCACGAGACCGCACGGAACCGTAACGGTCACACTCGGGGCACACAGTGACAGGACTTTATCAAAGCAGCTGAGTCCAAAAGGAAGAACAGACAGAACCGGTGTCACTTTGACTGTTCACTGTAGGACCGTTCAGAATGTGAGCCAGGAGAACGGATTCACACAGGTGATCACAGGGGAAGAACGAGACACAGCACTGAAACACACTAATCAACACTGCTCCTCGCGGTGCAGACGTTTTGCTCCAGAGAACAGCGGACTTTGCTGAAAGTCGCTATAGAAACGTATGAAGATGCATATCGAGCTGGAGGCACAAAAGGAGGAGGAAATTAAAAGTGTTGCACATTTTAGTACGGCAGCAAAATGGTCTGCAGGTAGGGCAGCTGAAATATTTCTGTAGCTGGCAGGGATGTGGAGTAGTAGGGCAACACAGCTCTCACCGGGTTGCTGGCCACAATCTCTTGGTTGCTGGCCACAGAGAGAGAGATCATGGTGAGAATGGAGTTGAGGATGAAGGAGAGGAAAAGGTTCTTGTGCAGAGAAATTCTCTGGCAGCTCAAACTCCTGCGGAAAGTAAAAATAATCTGTGTGAGGTACATCTGCAGCTTGAGTGACCTTGATTACTACCATTTTTAGTTTGCCGAATTTGTTTCATTGCTCGCAGTAAATGACTTTCAAATTTCAAATTAGGAAACAGGAGAAAGCCCAGGTGCTTTGTTGGACTGAGCAATTTAGCAAACATCTAGTGTAACATACCTCCACCCAGAATGGTCTGGCTTGGGATGAGGTACGGAAAACAAGCTGGTCAAGGTGGACCTAACTTTTTATTCACTGTTTACTCAACCCAGAATACTTCCTCACAAAACAGTGAAACACGAACCAGAGGGCAAAAATGGAAAATCCATGGAAGCACATTTACAACCCAAGAACACGAGGCACTTTTTTACCCAGGAGTATGGAAGAAACTAACCATTCACACCATTGAAGTCGATACCCTGGCTTCTTTCTAGAAACAGCTGGATGAGATCCCTGGTTAATTATCTACTTATTACCACAAGGGCCAGATGGGCAAATCCTTCCCACTTGTTTTGCAACCTTTCTTATGTTCTTAAGGTGTAGTTTAGACTGTAGAATCCCTCCCAGCTACACCTTGTCTAGACCATCCAGTTCTGCCTCCACTGGATGTCTGCAGCTGTAATGTGGCATCATGGATAGTGTTCTGAAGCTGGGGATAGAGGGGGCAGACTCACTTGAAGTAGAAGAAGATGAAGAGAGAGATCAGCAGAGACACCACCGACAGGCAATGGCCGGTTATCGCCATATAATACAGGTGGTATGCTGTCTGGGGAAGAGAGCATGTACAGTCAGAACAAAAAAACAACAACAAACAAGCCTGCACAACGCTTGGAAATAAAAATACTCCCACATACAGTGCACCCTGTCACATTAAAACATCAATAATGAAGAAGTGAATTAAAACAGAATCCTTGTAAATACAGAGAACAGACCCACCCAAGCCCAAAATCAAAAACTGGTTTTGATTTAAATACATGTACTGTACATGCTTCTTACATGTATGTTAAAGCTTGCATGTTGTCCTTTGCAAAGTTCAAAGAGTGCACAGCAAGGCTGAGAAAGCAGCTTTCTCAGGCACGACTCAGTAGGCCTCACCTTGAGCTTGATCTCAGTATAAGCGGAGCAGAGAGTGTAATTGGTCCAGGTGCGATTGCTCTCAGGGTGCCGGAACCACTGGCCATCTTGGTTGCAGACCTTCATCACCTTCTCTGCAGGGAGAGGACCAACATGGACAAATGCCACTGGTCGGCCTGTGACCGCTGCAAGGCTGGACAACGTAGAACAATAGAATACACACCCGAAGGCACTTGCCAGAAAAGGACAGAACGTCAAGACAAAAAGATAAGACTAGAGATTTAGAAACGGCTACCGATGTCATTATGATGGATTATAGAAACTTTGGCATAATTAAGGAGGGAGTTCCGTGTGCACGGATTATAAACACAAGAAGACCAGACGCATTTTTCAATCACCCCACTGACTCCGGCCAGAAGCCTTGGGCCTTAAGGAAACATAAGTTTCAGCGGGAGGAGAAAGCAAAAATAAATCTTAACCAGATAAGGCCAGGCAGGGTAGTGACTTTGTACGTCAACAGGAAATCATTAAAATCAATGCAAGAAAAGTCATGTCTTTTTTAAGAGCAGCAGTAATGTGCACTAAACTTGAGAGTCCTGGTCAACACATTTCAGCACCCAGATTACGTGCTGCTGTTCTTTTTCATTTGCACAAAGGGAGCTAGGGCTGTGACACCTGATTTGATGCTGCAATCACCTGAGCTGCTGCAGCCTACTAGATAGCTTCTCCCTCTCTGTCTCTAGTAGCTTTTAAGCCCAGCACACACAGGGAAACATGTGTCCAGATGAACTGTTTTCCCATAAAGGCTTGCTGTTTTCCATGCTTCTTGAAACATGGAAACATTTCCCTGAGTAGACCCTGGCTTCTACTTTGGGCAAAACTGCAGAAAACATCTTGCCTCCGACCAGCCAGGAAGAGACTTTGCAAGCGTGAGATTGCAGGCCACATGATTTTGGGAGATGACCCTATTTACAGAACATATACTGTAGTCCCCTCTAGTCACAATTTATCAGCTATCCCTCAGGCAGAGTGGTGGCTCTCTGGCTAAGGATCTGTGCCTGTGGCTGGAAGGTTGCCGGTTCAGATCCCGCCGCCGGTGGAGGAATCCTACTCCCTTGGGCCCCTGAGCAAGGCCCTTAACCCCAACTGGTCCAGGGGTGCTGTACAATGGCTGACCTTGTGCTCTGACGCCAAGCTTCTCTCCCTGTCTGTGTCTCATGGAGAGCAAGCTGGGGTATATGAAAAGATGAATTTGTAATGCAAGAAATTGTGTAGGGGCTAATAAAAAGCAACATTATTCACACAGTGTGGTCTCTTCGTTTCCACCTTCTTTTACAAAGTTTGTAAGGACAGCATTGTCCAGTGGCATCAGGCATTTGTGGACTTTTGAGGCAGGCAGCAGGAATGAAGGTGTCTCCTGACTGTATGTCCTTGTGCGGGCTGGGCTTTAGGGGAGGTGACAGGGCACAGGGAAAGGTCACTGACCTGAGGGATCGAAGTCCTGGAAGTACTCCGGGCAGTGCTGCATCGCCGTTCCCGGGTGGTAGTCCCCCCAACACAGCCAGCCGTCCCATGTGCGGTTACAGTAGGGATCTGCGGGGAAAATAAAAAAATTCCTTGTCCTTATCCAGTGTCCCCCGTTAATGCAACGTGGCTTTGATTTGGATATTCTGGTCCAGAGGCAGGAGCGCCACCTATTGGTCCACCAATACTGCATGCAGCAGCAACCTGGTTTTCCTTAGAGTTCTGCCATCCCGGCACCGACCAGGCCCAGCCCTGCTGAACACCTTAGGCCTGAACACACCAGATGAGTCTACAAAATGGAAATTCTATCGTCCTTTACACATGTCACCGAGGAGACGGGCACCCAGATGTTGGCTCTATACTGTAGCTGTACTATAATCCAGAAAACTGTACTATATAAAATAAACCTAACATACTTTTAAAACAACACCAAACACTCCGACATTAGTCTTGGAGCTGAAGGGCGTTGCTATCTAAGAAGCCTGATGTCTGAATTCATCACTGATATGCCCAGCACCCAGGAGCCAGTTCACTAGTGGGCACTCCCAGCACTCTGTCCCTGTCAACACAAATACCCTGGTATCTCCCCCAGCACCTCACTTACTGCTCATTCATACAGCAAAACATCAACACCCACGGACGCAACACCAGAACAGTGCAATCTATATACTGTATGTACACAGCAAATAGAACCTCTTACAGCTAAAAACCAAGGCTTACAGATCTTCAAGTTACTCACTCACAGAGTTTGGTGGAAGATTTGAGTTGTGAAGCATACAGTATCAATGAGTAGGTGAGGAAACTCTCACAGAAATAACTTCCTCAAAACATCTGGGCAGAGCCTTGGGTTTCTTTGTGTAAGCTCAAGAACGTGAATTGTCCTCCGCTGAGTAGAAATAAACAATTAAAGGAAGTCTGCAAGTCCCTGTTGGGATCGTGAACTTTAAATATCTTTACTTGATTACTGCAGCAGCTCAGCTTGGAGACACAGCCCATTTCCCCTTACGAGCTGTTGTTTCCCCCTCAGTGTCTTTAGGATGGTGAGATAATGCTGGCACAGAAAAGCTTGTTTGTTCCAGTGCCAGGGTGGCAACAACTGGGAGGCTTTATTCTGAGCCGCTCATTAACTGTGGTAAAAAAGGTGCACGAATGACGTCATTAATGGTTGCTAGGGGTGTCTCCATCTGTGGTACATTTTACCACAGCAGGTTAGCTCCCGTAACAGAACTCCTGCCAGCCTGCACCCTTGTGGCTCGCCACTAACACGGCAACATGCCAACTTTAGGGGTTCTCACAGAGCCTTCTACAATATTTAACCCCAGGAGTTTCAGAAAGACGCCTTCGACATCATCAGATGAGTGATCAAGCCTACGTTACGGGTCGAGGTCATGTTCGTGCCCAGTCAGGCGCCGTTGAAAACTCGACAGATGGCGTTCTGCAATTTGCCCAATTAATCTGTGAGCACTGCTGCAGCGGTGGGCAGCATACTGTAGGGCAGGAAACACTGGGATTTCTAGCCGTGGTCGTGACTGAAAAATTACTGACACTGACGTCATTAATGATCTGGCCAACTGTGACTTGTGTTCAGCCCATGACTGATTTTATTGGAAGGTAAAAAATAAATCGAAATAGAAACAGTAAATAATTTAACTTTGCATGAGCGGAACAGATATGCTGTTCTCATCATCTCCCTCCATCTGGCAGTATAAAAGCACATGGCATATAAGGTGTGTGTGCATTTATGATCTGTAAATGACTGATGCTTGAAACCATTCTTCAAGTACTCAGACGGTGTTATCCAAAGTGATGCTGATGGAGGCCACTGCTGGGTAATAAAGAAGAATACAGTGTAATCCCTTCACACTGATCAACAGGCACATTCTGGGAAGAGAATGAAAGCACTTTGCTTCACCCAGCAAGGCAGACAACGAATCCTCCACCTATTTTAATATTTGGAGTTTTGCATGTTAGCCCCAGTGAACTCCACAAAATATTTTCATCAAGACAGCTTTCAATGAACCACACGGGACACAACATTACCCGACGCCTCGCACAAAAGGAAAGCAATAAACCGGTTCGACCAAATTCTCGCCTGCCAGCTCCTCATTTTCAGCACTTCCTAAAAATGTGGAAGTCTGTGCCATCCAGCTCTACTGCCAACAGCAGGCGACAGGTTTCTCACCACTTCCAGAGTAAGGGGGGTCGTTCAAGATCTTCAGGTAGCACTCAAACTGTGCAGTGAGGATCTGCCCCCGGGACACCCCCAGATCACTGGAGTCAGGGGATAATGTCTGTTGAGGCTGCACTCCGTTTGTCACCTGGGCACAGGTGGGTACCTGCAGCAGCATGGGGAGAGAAACACGGCTCAGAGTCCCACAGCTGTGTCACGAGGCTCAGGCAAAGCAAACAGCCAACGGGAGGAGAGAGGGGAGTTTATTTGCCATATACAGTATACACGTGCATGGGGAAAGGATTAGTAATTTGCGTAAAACTTCCCTTCAACTACTTTAATGACCTCTTTATAGGCCATGCACTGTAACGTGTTGTCACAATATTCACAACCCTTCAAGAACATTATTCCAGGAGACAGATGCATACATTTTCATACTAACTCAAATTCGAATCCACATCCAAACTAAAGATCTAAACGTAAAACATAGTGTAACATGCATTTTATTCAGTGTTATGAACCCTATATTATGTTATGTCTTATGCAGCAACAGAAGCAGAGTGTTATGTTATTTTAGCAGATGATGTCAATGCTAAGAATGCTAGGAATGTATTAGGCAGGCAACACGAACCCTCACTCAGAGGAACTGTAACTGTAATCTGTCTGTATCATTATGGAAGCACACTTCTTTCTGGAACGCACCTTCCTGTCTTGCACTTAGCTGCGTTATTATTTTTGGCGGGAGAGCAGGGTTGGAGATCATTGTAATAATGAAATAATCAAAAGGTCTGTGTCTCTCGAGTCCAGCGGATACACCTCCTGTCTCCCTCATCCATACCACAGCGTGCAGGAGTGGACTCCCACTTCTGCCTCTTCCTCTTCTCTCCACTAGTTACTGTATCTTCTGTGGCCTGCCCCTCCCCACTATCCTATCCAGGTGGGGCTGCACATTGGTGGTGGTGGAGGGGAGTCCCCATTACCTGTAAAGCGCTTTGAGTGGAGTGTCCAGAAAAGTTCTATACAAGTGTAAGCAATTATTATAATTCTTATTATTATTATCCTCTAGTCCACTGGCCTGATCAGCTTCACACTGATGCAAAGATCACTGACCTAAAAGCACCTCTTACTGAGTAATCAGTGCTTTTAGGTCAGTAACAGAAACGTTACTCACAAGAAAGGCCTAAGTCACGTTACATGTACTGTATATGTACAGAATGCAACCATACAGTATATACTGTATGTGGTAGAGATGAAAGAAGTCATGCTGTTGTGTTAATGGAAATGTAGATCTGCATTCCAGAAAGACAACAAAACGACCAAGAAAGTGACTCCCCGCAGCCTGGCAGCTTTGGGGTTTTACAGCTGGATTTCTATTTCCTTACCACGGCCAGCAGTGACATCAGCAGTGCCCACAACAAGACCCGCACCATCCTCATGGTTCTGCTGACAGGGGCCTGCTCACTGGGGCCAGGGGTCAGCCGACTGCAAGAGAGAGAGGGCACAAACGCTCAGCACGCCGGCACGCTCATCGACGCCACGTTTTGAAAACAAAAGCACTTTGCAGCTGCGACAAACAAACTCACTGTCACGTTTCCACTCCAGAAGCAAATAGGTTTTAGAAAGAAAAAAACAACACTTATTGCAGGAGGAAATACAATATTTAGACCCTTATCACCTAGAATGTACCTCACCTAGGATTATACGGTAGTACCACACTGAAAACAGACAGAATCATAGGGGTAACACTACAAATGCAGACAGATTCTGGTGTTATATATTTCCAAATCCTCACAGAAAATATATTTTTCTGTGACAGATATTCAAGATTTGCACAAAACACTTTAGAATTTATAGAAAAGTGATCTTCTTGCATGGCGCATCCTGTTTTGCCCCAGCGCTTTCTGTTTGTTTAGATTACACCCCCATCTGAGAGCAAACAGAGCCCGACATGTCCGTCCTTCATCTGTATGGGATTCTGGAGCCGTTTCCGTGTCTGTCTCCCTAGTCCGACTCCTCCTGGGTTCAGCCACCCCCCTTCCCTCCTTAAAGGTCAAAGTTAATAGAAACTTGCTGAAACAACATTCCCAGAGTGACCCCACACTCTGCTTTAAAGACCTTACAGCGATTGGGCTGGGGGGCAGGGAAAACCACGCATTCAGATTGCAGCTCTACGTGCACTTCGGGGTGTTTCAAGCTGCAGACGTCCAATCTGCATTGCGCTAGGGTCATTTCCTGTCCACACTCTGCAGAGAGAACATGCACAGCGACAGACTCTTAAATCCTCAGGTCACAGGTTGGTACTGTACATGCTGGTTTCACTGCTACAAGGAGCGTATGAGTGAGAACAGTTTTGGTGCCAATGCTACACAAAGGCCTTAACTAACCACTGCATTCCCCGAGCACGTCTGCTGCCAGTCCAGCAGACGTGCATCAACATTTGGTTTATGCAATAAATGTGTTCAGTGATCTGTTTTTGTTTTCAGGTGTTATTATCTGTTTTTTTTTTAATAATTAAAACTTCATTTAATTCTAAAATGGAGCAGAAGACAAGGTCCATGCCAGATCAGAGAACACACAATGTTAAGAGGGTTAAGAGGAGAAATTCCTGAGACCGGCAGTTAAATTAAATGAAAAGGGATTCAGGCAAATAAATTGCTTGTGTAAGTGGTCTGATGATTACAGCCCCACAAGCCTTTTTTGTTGTTTTGCTCGTAAATAAAATTTCATGGAAACAGAAGGTCAGATGTCCTGTCACAGGGGACACACTGCACTGATTTCTTGGAGACGTTAACCCACGGGGGGCCTGTCCAAACTCCAGAATCTGCAGGAGCAAGTCTCCCTCAGTCTTTCACTCCCTCTCTTTGCTGCTCGGAGCCTGGTGTCGGGGCGCGGACCTGGCAGCAGTGAATGGGAAACCATGGTTTATGACTTGGCTTCATTATAAACACAGGATTAAGGGCAAATTTAAAAGTTTACAATAACAGGAAGGAACTGGCCTTCTCTTCTGGTTCACACAAGCGCCTCCATCTTTTACTGTCAAGCCCGCCTGTGGTGGTGGAGCTCTGTCTATGCTGGTGGTGGTAGTGCGAGCCGGGAGGGGCAGACTGGAAAGAACTGCTGAACTGGGACATTTTGTAAATAATCAAATGGGTGCTACTGTAGACAATAAACTACGGGATGCCAAATCAAATACTGATCTTCTTGCAAACACATCAACATATAAGAACTCCATTATTTTTTGATGCACTTAAAAATGAGAACAGGAGGCAATTCTCAAAGCTAGGTGCAAAATTGGACCAAGCAAGCAGCCATGATGTAGAACCTGATACCCTGCCTCTATTCAAGAAACAGCTGGATGAGTTCCTTGGATCAGTGAACTACTACCAAACAGGCTAGATGGACAGAATGGACTTCTCTCTCCTTTGTAACTGTTTTTATGATACTGACAGCTATCTGTTAAGCTGCTGTAGGACACAGAATATTTGTTCCAAACAGGGTTAAGATAATTTACCCAACATAATGTGGACAAAAGACAAAGCAAGAGACATTTATTACTAAAACCTGTCCCTGCCACAACACAAAATCTAACTCTCCATCAAGCAAAATACTTTTAATGGCTAATTTAATCTGATTGAGTCCTCCTATTTACTTTAATTTAAGAATTTATTTCTCTGAAAAAATGCTCACTTAGGTTTAGAATGGTAAATAAGACGAAATTCCATTAAAGCACATTGAAACCAATGTAAAAACACAGCAAAAGATAGCAGAGCATAGGGAAATCAAGGGAAAGCACTAAACACAGTATTAATGTGGCAAAAGCACAGTAAACACAGTAAAACTATAGTAAAACCTGGTCAATCATAAAGCAGGATGGTGGTGCAAAGAATAGGAAAATGAAAATGGGATTTGATTTGTATAAGCAATAAAAATCAGGGGAAAACTGTAAAAATGCTGAGTGGCAAAATCTTTAATAGCAGATTATTAGAAAAACCCAGTCAAACTGTTAACTTGGCCAGAGGACCGAGACAACGAGTACAGGTCGCAGCTAATTCGAGGGGCTGAACTGTGATGGCTGCACAGATCTGCTCGGTTTCTGTGTCAGAGGCTTCATCTTGTCCACACAACAGAATGTCAGGAGGCGTCTATAAATAGACTGCTGTCTAATTGCTAATTCCCTTTGATTAATGCTCTGAATTCCCTGTGAATGACATTGGAAATGCTCCTCTTCTGGACAGGAAAGCCAGGAACGCCGCATCCTGAGCTGGTCCTGGGGGCTGGGGATTGCAAAACGGATACGATTCTGGAAGCACCGGTCGCCATGAAACAAAAGAATGTGATGCATTCTGGGCATAAAATGACTACAGTAAAATGTCACAGAGGATGCAGGCAGACTTTGTACAACAATGCGAGAGAATCCCCATATTTGTTATTTGACCACCACGTGTTCTGATCTGTAACAGAAACAATCTGCTTCCAAAATTCTATTCCTTCCAATACTCATTTGTTGTGTTTTTATACAACATTTCAGTGTATCTGTCACATGGCAGAGAAGGAAAACTTCACAGTCTGTTTTCTGTGTAATTTACAAATTTATATACACTTTTATTTATACAGTATATACTTTGTAGTGGGATAAACCTATCGTGCCATCAGAAAGACAAAGGGTATGCTATAGGTTAGGACAGTGCCCTAACAGAAAGAACCTCCTTTTTCTCAAGGCTGTTTTAGGGCATCTTGCTGAAATACGGAAGAAGAAGCAGTTGTGTGGTTTTTGTCATTCATGCAAATAATGTCAGTCAACCCTAGATAAGATAAGATCACTTTATTGGCCATATACAATTTCTCGTTTCGCATGCCCCAGCTTGCTCTCCATGAGACACACAGACAGGGAGAGAAGCTTGGGGTCAGAGCGCAGGGTCAGCCATTCATACAGCCTAATAATGATTCCTGCAAATCCACATAATTTTAAAGCGCTACAGCACTGAGACATCCAGATATCACCCAGAAGCAAGTTAAAAAATCATCTGAACAAACAAACAAGGAGGCACACAACTTACAGCCCCTGTTCAAGCAAAAGCCATTTAACTTTACCAAAGCCAACTTCAACAGAGCCAAAGATGACAATCCCTGTACTTCATGCTGGTGCTGCTGCTGCTGCCAGCACACTATTTTTAGATCAGAAGAGCGTGTCATCACATTGGTAATGCCCCACAGCAGTTATATAAGGCCAATCAAATGAAAAAACATATTCCTGACCTTTAACCCTTTAAAAGTCAGGGCGTCACTGTGATGTTTGCCGTTATCTTGAAGTACAGAAGTAGTAACCTGACAACTTCACAAGCACTTGTTGGATCTAGAACAAATTGGCAGGTAAGGACTACTGAACAATGTGATTTGTTTTTAGACACAAGCAAGGCTTCACTGCAATAGTGCAGTTTTTTTCTCAGCACGCCATGCGTTTCTTGAAAATCCATCTCCGACCACAGGGCCAGTCATGTTAACACAACACACCGCTCATTTAAAAAAACCCAAACCAACTAGGCTTAGGCATTCTCATTGCAGAGTCCGCTGAGCGCAAATTTGAGAGTTTCAGATTAGCACAGAATTCGTTTTTATGACAAATTAAAATTTTCTTCGAGAAGAATACACAAGGAAAAACGTTTCCACTTGACAATCGAGCCAGGAACCTTACCTTGCCTGGCTGTCCACATTCTGGCATATACGCCTTAAGACAAACAGTGAGCTCTTTCAGCATGTGTACAATTAAACTGATTATAGGAACCAGAAGTCAATCTTTTTGACTGTAAGTTGGCTTCAAAATGTAATTTCTGCCCCATTAAAGGTTCAGAATTTCCACATACTGTAAGTGCTGTGCAAAAAAGTGCCTTCCGTTACAGTCGTAATAGTGGTTTTGCAGTGGAGCCTGTGATTACCCAAGCTTTTAAAGAGTCCTCCCCCAGGAGGCCAGGGGTATAGCACAGCTGACATCATGAGGGAACACTGGCTTTCACTCCTCACAAGCTTATAAGGACAGATTAAAAAAAACGGTGCACATATGAGTTCTTCAGTCTTGCAACATGAACATGCTTCTCTGCCACACGGAAGCACAGGAAAAAAAGTGATAAAGCAAAGTATGTGCATAGTGTAAGCATTACAAATGGAAAATGCAAAAACAACATGCAAATTTATTGCTGCTAACGTTCATCAGGGAAAGCCCAGAAAAAAAAACCTGCAGAAGTGACTCCAAAACTAACATGTTCCAATAAGCCAGAACCAGCTTTTCCTCTTCAGTTCGCGTAAGGAATCAGGGCACATGCTCCTTCTTGCTCTGTCATTTTTAAACCTCACAAACCAGGGATTACACGTGACTGCTCATTGAGGAGGTTTTGCAAATAAGAGATTTGACTCCACGGCATATCTCAGCTCCTGAGACACCACAGCGTGCACACACAATCCTCAATCACAGCTTCAGGTGGAGGCGA